AGTACCTCTCCCACGTCCCATTAAAGTCAAGGACACAACCTCGAAACATATCCTCAAGGATCTGAATAGTACGCTCAGACTGCCCGTCAGTCTGAGGATGATAAGCTGTACTAACGGTCAACCTAGTGCCCAAGGCACTCTGCAAACTCTGCCACAACCTAGCAGTAAAATGAGGATCTCTATCTGAGACGATCATCACTGGGACCCCGTGCAATCTCACTATGTCCCGAATATACAAGTCGGCGAGATGATCTACCGAATCTCTCACGCGTATAGGAATGAAGTGCGCCGACTTAGTCAACCGGTCTACAACCACCCAAATGGCATCACTACCTCGCCGAGTCCTCGGAAGACCTACAACGAAGTCTATAGTGACATTCTCCCACTTCCACTCGGCAATAGGCAAGGGTTGCAACAAACCCGCTGGCCTCTGATGCTCGGCCTTCACTTGCTAGCAAGTAAGGCACTTCGATATAAAAACAGCCACATCTCTCTTCATGCCCCGCCACCAAAACTGGAGACCCAAATCCCGATACATCTTAGTGCCTCTTGGATGCACCGCAAGACGTGAATGATGGAACTCTCAGAGTACTTCCTCTCGGCAAGACTCCGGCACTAACAAACAGTCTCGGTATCTCACACTTAGGTCGGGATACACCGTCAAACCCTTCTCAACCTTTCCATTTGAGATCTTCTCTCGGAGGGATTCTACCTCAAGGTCGCCTCTCTATGCCTCTAACACTCGGGTCACAAGTGTAGGCTGCGCAACAACAGAAAACAAGGCCGCAGCCTCAGCTGATTTACCCAGAAGCAAGTCAAACTCGCCAAGTACACCCAACATTCCCCATTCCCGGATGGCTATACAAGCTACATCACTAATGGATTTCCTACTAAGGGCATCGGCCACAACATTGGCCTTTCCCGGGTGATAGTGCAACTCAAAATCATAGTCCTCAATGAACTCCATCCACCTTCTCTGCCTCAAATTCAAGTCTCTCTGTGTAAATAGATACTTCAAACTCTTGTGGTCCGAGAACACCTCGAACCTCTCACCATAAAGGTAGTGCCTCCAAATCTTCTAGGCAAAGATCACTGCTACTAACTCTAGGTCGTGTGTAGGGTAATTCTTCTCGTGTATTTTCAACTGACGTAAGCCATAAGCTACCACTTTCCCTCTTGCATCAACACACAACCCAACCCCTCTCGTGAGGCATCACAATAAATTGCATAACCCAACCCTCTCTCCGGAATAATCAAAACCGGAGTGGTGGTCAATCTAACCTTCAATTCTTGGAACGACTTTTTGCAAGTCTCACTCCACACAAACTTGACACATTTTCGCATCAATCTAGTCAACGGTGAAGCTAGCCTGGAGAAATCTTTCACAAACCGACGGTAATACCCAGCTAATCCCAGAAAACTGCGGATCTCAAACACACTCTTAGGTTGTGGCCAATCTTGCACTGCCTCTACCTTGGATGTATCAATAGACACCCCTTCCTCGGATACCACATGGCCTAAGAATTTAACCTCTCCTAGCCAGAACTCACACTTCCCAAACTTGGCATATAGCCTATGGGCTCTAAGCAATTCAAGCACCACTCTCAAGTGTTCCTTGTGCTCTCCTCAGAAGGCGAATAGATAAGAATGTCGACCACGAAAACGACTACAAATCGATCTAAGAATTCCCGGAAGATCCGGGTCATCAAGTCCATAAAGACTGCCGATATATGAGACAATGATTCACATTAAACATTTCCCATTTTACAATTGATAAACATTCTAGTTGTATCAACATCTCAACAGATAAGCATACAAGTTGTATCCACATTTCAACAGATATGCATATTAGCTATATCAACACTTCCAAAGATAAGCATATGAGCTGTATCAACACTTCCAAATATAAGCATATGAGCTATATCAACACAATATCTAACAAGCATATGAGCTGTATCAGTGGAGTCCATCCCCTATCTCCTCCCAAACAACATCCGGTTTAGAAGTCGATCCCCTATCTTCCCCTAAACCGTGGAGTGCATCACCTATCTCCTCCCACACACACAACGTATATACACAAAGGTCATATACACAATCAATCAATACATAACGTTAATGTATTCTATCAACCGTAATACTCTATGACATATCCAACTGATTAGTTTTAGTTTGTCTAATCATCATGCATTGCCTACAACAATCAAAACTACCCACCACCGGTAGCCCAAGCAATTATTTCTAAACAGATAATAAAAGCTCCAACAGATAAAATATCAATGTTTTCAAAAGTGAGCGATTAATAAATCTAACTCCACTATTCAACCATATAATGAACCAATTTCATTATTTTCAACTCAATTCCGTATAACCACAATTTTTCCAAATTAATCATACCAATTAATTTATACAACTAATTAGGGTTTTCTACCCCATTTCCCAATATTGACCCAATGGTCAAAATATCAACAACCAACATCAATAACACCATTTTGAAACCCAAAATACATATTATGAGCCTAAAATCACAAAACCCTCTTTAACACATTTTGAAACCCTAAGTCCCAAAATCAACCATTTAACCAATAAGCTCAAAATCTAGGTTAAAATCCATAAGAGTGAGTAGGAATCCCTACCTCAAATTCGGAGCTCAAGGAAAGAAGGTGAAGAAACTCAACGTGCTCCAAAACTCAATATTTTCGGATCAAAACATAACCCTCGACGATCAACCCAACTCTTACAAAGGCCGAAGGGAAGGGAAACACTCTAACTAGATCAAACCCTAGAGAGAAGGGAGTTTCTAGAGAGAGGAACTCTCAAAAAGTCTTTTTAGAAAGTAAGAGAGAGAGAGAGAGAATGTAAAAAGTGATTTTAAAATGCCCAGCTGCCAACTGATATACGACATTCCCACTCGAGCGGTGAACACAACGCTCGAGCGTCAAGAACAAAAATCTGGGTACGCTTGAGCGCAATAAGGCCCGCTCGAGCGCCAAGACACAAGAATAAAGTACATCCGCTCGAGCGCGAAAACCAGTCCGCTCGAGCGCGAAAACCAGTCCGCTCGAGCCTAGATTTCCCCCTTCCAGAACTTACACCCAAAGGTACTACCCGCTCGAGTGTCAAAGTACCCGCTCGAGCGCCACCGCTCGATCATAAAAATCACGTCTGCAGAAGTTTTGCAGGGACACAAAAAACTGGGAGCGTGCAATCTCCGCTCGAGCGCAAGAAGACCCACTCGAGCGGACCTCCTAAAAACTGAGCAACAAGGAATTGAAACCAAAGCCTAACCAACCTATAACAACTCTGCCCAATACATCCTAAAACTCAATCAAGTGGAATTAAAGGATGACAACAAGGTATACCACCACCAACATCACGGAACCGAGTCCGGAATACAACAGAATAGTAAAGGGACAACCGGGATCGCTATAATTCAAGTCAATTGTAAGCAATCTCTCTCTCTCTCTCTCTCTATATATATATATATATATATGCAAGTTCTGCTTGTGAATTGTGATAATTTCTTTACTTGTCTAATTCAAGAAAAATACTTTTAAAAAAAATTATAAGATTTATTACTTTATGTATGTTTTTTTTTTAAAGTTCAATTTTATTTATGTTTTTGTAGAAATGAAAACATTCTATTGAAACACATTCACTTTGTTTCGTTATGATTTTCAAGATTCCTTATTGAAAAAATTAAATTTTTTTACTTTTCATATTTGTTTTTATTTTTATTGAATTTTTTAATATTTTAAACAATTTTTTTAATTTATAGATTCACCTAATGTAAATACATTTAAAAAGTATAATATTTGTAAAAAAAATCTTTAAAAAATTCACTAAATACCCAAAATATCAAAAAAAAAATACAAAATTCAATATATTTTTCGTATTCTTGTATATTTATTAGTTTTTTAAAATATATTTTTACAAATATTTTACTATTTTGATACATCTAAGTAAGGTGCATCTAAAAATATTTAAAAAAAATGCTTACTAAAAACAAAAAAATAAATAAAAATAATATACAAAAAAACTCTATTTTCAAAAAATTAAATTTAGAAAATTAAAATCAAACACATTGATTAAAATTTTAAATTTTGAATTTAAGAAGGAAAATAAAAGGGGAAACAATTATTTATATGCATTCATTCATTTTATGGTTAAAAAGATCTTTAAAATTTAATGCTTACATAATTTAGTACGTTGTTTTAAGGTAAAAATATCTATTAGTGTTGTCTTCAAAACTTAATTAGAAAATCAAGAAAAATATTATGATTTTGCATATTAATATTTATAAAGAATATTATTCACTTGAAAAAAACCTTTTTACTCATACACTGAGAAGAAATTATTTCTCCTCGTTCTAATCCCCTCTACCAACAATATGAGTGTCTAAAATGGGTGTAAAGGTGGTGTGTGCTTATCTTTATTCACATTAGATTGATTGGGCTTTTCTAGATTCACTTTTTCTATTATTTTTATTGCTATTGGTTGTGAACCTGTGATAGCTAGCGTATTGTAAAATTAAAAAGGAAAAAAAATAATCATTTTTGCATTCATTCTAGATTATTCTTGTCACCAAGCACTTTAATTTACGTTTTGAAGAAATGCATGCGCAATTTCGTTAGCTTTGATTGAGCAATCCGACTTTGCCAAAAATCTTTGTTGAAAAAAGAAAAATAAAAGAAATGGTGAGTCATTAAATATATGAAGATGTGATGGTTGAGATTCTTGTAAAATTACCAGTCAAATCTTTGATGTGATTTAAGTGCGTCTACAAATCTTGGTCCTCTCTCAGTACAAATCCCAGTCTCATAGCCAAGCATCTCACTAACAGTAACAAGAAGTAAAATGGTTGCCTCTTCATTCATAAAATTGAACCCAAAGACACAAATAACTTTCCCAGAAAATATACCTTTGCTGTGTGTCGTGGCAAATCCCTCACGGTTCCAGTATTTGAATATCTTGGTCTAAAGTTGAATGCAAAAGTGCACGTTATGGGTCCTTATTTTTTGTCTCTTAACCAATTGGGATTCTGTAGCTCTATGGAACCCAGCGAACAGAGAATCCAGAGCTCTTCCGACACAAACATTCCCCAACTCATTCCTTCAAGAATGGAACTCGAGAGAAATGCTTTTGGGTTCGGGATGGATCCTTTCACTGGTGATTATAAAGTGGTTTCAATTAGGGCATACCACTGGGGTTCCGGCCTTGATGATGATATTCATCCATCAAGTTACTCTAAACACATTGCTATATATTCATTGCGTGATGATTCTTGGAGAGATTTCAAGGGTTTTTTTTTTCTCCGGAATGTAGTGTTTCTTCCATTTGTAAGTTCTACACTTACATGGATGGAGTTTATTACTAGTGTGCATCTGACAAAAATGATGATGCTATGAAACTCTCATTTCATATGGGCTACGAGGTGTTTCAAAACATATTGGAGCAGGATGAACCGATGCCGTTAAAAGGGATACCAGAGCTAGGTTGCCGTCACCCAGGAACTAATCTTGTTGGACACTATTTTGGAGTCTACAATGGCTCTCTTGCTTGGATACAATGTTATCCAACACATTACATGGCACCAAACGTTTTCAACATTTGGGTATTGAAAGACGAACGTTGGACAAGAGAATTAAGAGCTGGACCTTTTGAAGGAGCAATTTTGCTTAGCTTTTGGAACAAAGGTGAGTTCCTCATCCAAGTTGAGGATGGGCATTTGTACTTGGTAGACCCTATTACCCGTGAGATGAAGGATCTTCGAACTGTGGCTTCTCAGGCTATTGTTTACCATGAGAGCCTGGTTTCTGTTCAGAGAAGAGACGCAGAATTTGATCATTCATATATTACATTTCGTCTTAAGTTCGATGTTTTCCGGGACTCGTACTGAGATAATTGAATAGATTCTGATGTCACTTATTCTAGCTCCAATGATGATACTTACGATGTATTTGGATTTTCAAATTAGGATGTAATTGAATTTTAAATTAGCCAAAGGCAAAAAAAATGAGAATAATAAGAGAACAAACTACTCATTTGAGAACTTTCTCTTTGAATAATTTCTTTTGTTTTCAACATCAAGCATGTTTCAGTTTTGATAATTTCAGTTTCACTAAAATTTTCTTTTTATATCAATTTAGGTTTGCTTGCTTGAATCAAAATATAGTTGAATCTATATAATAAGGGTAATGTTATGAAAAAAAAAATTATAACCAAACACTACATAAGGTAACACTATAATAAATCAAATCAAAGACCACAAACATATTAAACCAAAGGTATATATGTTACACACTCCAAACAATTTTCCATTAAAATGTTTAAATTTAAGGGTTTATTTGAAATTTTTTTTTTGAAATTTTTTGAGAAAAAATAAATTAATTTGATAAAAATAAATACCAAAAAATATTTTAAATTTTTTTTAGCCCTTAAAAAGATAAAATCATATTTGAATGCGTCCAATTGATCGATCTCGAACTCATCATTCTGCACAATTTAAAGATTAAATGAGTTTAAAATCAATCCAATTATATTTATTTTAAATTTTAAAAAATGGGAATAACACCTAGTGGAAGGCAGAATCAAAATTCAGGAGATGACCCTCAAATATTTTAAATAGCCTTTATTTAAAATGTAGGTTAACTTTTTGACTTTTTTAATCTGGGGCTAAAAAGTTTCGTTTGGAATAGGCTTTTTGGTTTTTATAACTTTTTTGAGAAAAAAAATAAAATGATCATGATTTGGATGTGATATTTTGTCTTCTTGAACTAAAAAATCTATTGTCTTGTTGTAACTAATATAGCCCCAACTCTACCCAATCCTAAACCTTCATGCCAAACATAGCCTTGTAGTAAAAGTAGTAAAGGTCTAGGGATTTTTTTTTTATTTTTTATTTTTTATTTTTTATTTTTTATTTTTGGTACCTCACCTTTTTAATTATATTGGAGTCTTGTTTGGGAAGTATGCTATTTTGTTCGCTATTTGATTTTTTTTAATTATTTTAGCCTAAATAATTATGCTTGGGAAGATAGTTGATTTTTTTTTAATAATTGATTTGATAGTTGTGAGAGAAAAAGTGAAATGATTATGGATTGGATGTGATATTTAGTCTTATTCACTATTTTAATATATTTTATCTTTTAGTGAGCTATTTTAGAGGTAATTTTATTTCCACACATTAATTACTTCCAGTACATACACTTAATGAACACATTCTGAACACAAATATTATAAAAATATTAGTTCTCACTATACATCTCTATATTCCAATATTACCTTCATTTTCATTTTTAAAACCTTAAGGCTATGTTTAGTTTCAATTTTTGAATCTTTCTTTCTTTCTTTCTTTTTTGAAATTTTTTGAGAAAAAATAAATTAATTTGATAAAAATAAATACCAAAAAATATTTTAAATTTTTTTTAGCCCTTAAAAAGATAAAATCATATTAAAATAAGAAGTTTTATTTATTTTTTTTAAAACACATTCTAAAATTGAACTAAACAGAGCTTAATTTTTTTTCCCCATTCTTCTACTTCTCCTTTACTGTTGTTGCCGCCAATCAACCTTGAGTGATTTGCGGTGGTAGATTTGTGAGTGTATGGTTCGTGATGGAAAATGATTGTTGGCAGAAAGGGAAAGAAATGATGGGAGAGGATGGCGGATGAGAGTGGTGGCACTAGCGATAGAGGATGATTGTAGTGTTTTAGAATTAGGGTTTGGATAGAAGATGTGATGCCCCAGTTCTACACTATTGGTTGCAATCAAGAGAGAGTCACTAATGAGTCCTATGGTCAATAATCAAGTAAGATCCTAGATCGCCGGAGGAGTCAAATTAGCCTCCCTTCTAAGTCCAACTTTCTTAGGCAGCGCACTGCCCTTTTGACAGATCTTAAGAGGTATTGACACAAGGTCTCATAAGCAACAATAAGGTTCTTACATAGAATATAAATACATAACAATCACAATATATATAACTCAAAAGATGGTTCAATTACATTGCATTCCAGAAGAAGCTTAAGTCTTCAAATGAGTCTTCACAAAGCATCCAAAAAAGAAACTTCTAATTTTTCTAGGATAGCCAAAAGTCTTTGAAAGTTTCGGACTCGTCGCCTCCAGCTATGAGTTCCGCTTCGTCACCTGGCATGATACGCCGTGAGCTTTGAATGCCCAGTAAACACACACACACCCTACCCCCTTTTCCCAGTCCAATACACAATCACCATTATAAAATCAAATAATAAAGCATAATACTCAATTAAATAAATAAAGGGTTAAGTTAGGTTGTTAGAAACTAGAAATCTCCCAAAGAGATTTCGTCCTCCCAACCACGAGAATCGGACGCGAATTATTTGGTATGCCCCCTCTTTTGCTGCTTTGTTGCAGACCTAACCTTGGATGCCTACCAACGATTATCTACCGTGTAGCGCCTACCGCAAGGCCTCAAAAGAGACGGTAAAATAGGACCTTACCCGAATCCCTCCTTACACCAAGCCACCTAGGGTCCGAATACAACCGCTCCGTTCAAGGGTTCCGAAAACCACTTGCGCAAGACTTTAGCTTTCAAATAGGGAACACATCCCAACAATCCATATATCACATATTCTCATTTTTTCATCACTCAAGTGCTCAAAAACCCAATACCCTCCCCATTAGGTTTCCCGTTGAGTTAAATATTTTACAACAAGGTTAGACAACTTAACAAGATAAAAATATCCACACAAGCATGTATCAATAAGGTGAAGAAGATGAAGAACATACCATAACGCATACAATATTATGTCAGGATATGATCATGAACTAATAAACATTTTCATGAATACAAGGCATAAAACATCCATGCATAACAAAATTTCCAGATTTAATATCACATAAAGTTTAAAATGAAAGGACTATTTTAGATCCTTCACCGGACTTGGCCTTCCTATGGTTCGTAAAGGATTTAATCTAGTTTCTAGAACATTTTTCGGAAATGGGATCGCTTTTCCAGATTTAAAGTTATTTAGAAAATATTCCAGCGCTGTCCAGATTCTGTCCAGATCTGTCGACTGTTACGAAAAATCGATTTTCTTGCAAACCGCTTAATGTTTTTCGATGAAACCAATTTTAGCTAAAAGATAACACCTTAAGGATGGTTCTGACATAAAATAGAGGCCTAGAATAATTTTATACATTTTTCTAGAATTTCTGGAAGTGGGCTGCAAAAACAGATTCTGGGGTACTTTGCCCAAAACAAGAAGATTTATGAAAAAAGGATTCCACCAAGGGAAAGTTTCATTTCTTTTGTGCAGAAAATATGCTAACTATCATATATTTAACTCAGAAAATTTGTTTGAAGGAGTGCCTTTGCAAAGTTGAGAGATTGGTACAAAAAAATGGTTTTGGACCAAAATGGGGAAAATACAAGAGAGAAGGAATCAATATTCAACCCTTAGCACTTTTAACATAAGACCTTAATAATATCCGTTCTGAAAACATTATTTAGAACCTTTAGAAACATGTATTGAAAAAAAGAAAATGAAAGAGAAGGTTGTGTTTGTGGCTTACCTACTAAGCTTTGCACAAGAAAACTTTCTTCTTTCTTCCTCTTCTTCTTCTATGGTTTTGGACCAAAATGGGGAAAATACAAGAGAGAAGGAATCAATACTCAACCCTTAGCACTTTTAACATAAGACCTTAATAATATCTGTTCTGAAAACATTATTTAGAACCTTTAGAAACATGTATTGAAAAAAGAAAATGAAAGAGAAGGTTGTGTTTGTGGCTTACCTACTAAGCTTTGCACAAGAAAGCTTTCTTCTTTCTTCCTCTTCTTCTTCTAGACTTCTCTCTCTTGCTCTTCTCCCTCTCTCCAGCTGAATGTGTGTGTGTGGGTGTGGTGTTTGTGTCTTGCCAAGCTAGGGGAGGTTGGTATATATAGGCAATTTGGTGTAAATGAACAAAAAAGCCCACTAGTTGAAAATGGAGGGAAAGGTTAGGATTTTGCTTGGGGTCTAATGGGATAGGAGTAAATAAGGTGCTAAATCATAGGATTAAGCATTATTTAGTTGATTTTTAGATGAAAGGTAACTAGTATAGGGAACATCATCCTAGGTCTTGGGTACTAGGTTTTGGTTTTCCTAGAATATCATGATCAAAAATCTTGAAATTGGCTCCTCTCTTCTTCCTAGGGTGGCCGGCCTTGGGGAAGTGTGATGGAGTTATTATTTTATTAGTTTTTGTCCTGGGGCACACTCTTCAAGGTGTATATATATATATTTTACAAGATTGATGGTACTTCAAGGTACAAGGTACAAGTACTAGCATTTGGGTAAGTTTTGAATTTAAATAAAGAGTGAGGGCTTGGAGTTAAATGCATGTAACTTAGGTAGAATTAAATTAGGTTAGGGAACCTAATCCGGCTAGGGTAATTCCTGTTTCGATAAAAATAAAAATAATAATGCTAACCGACAAGATTCGAATTAATTCAAGTGACCGAGGGGCTTTAAGAAAATAATTCAACATTAGGGTTTTTAAAGTGAATACATATTTCGGGGGCTTCACAGAAGAAGAAGAAGAAGAAGAAGAGGGTATTATGGTATTTTTATTCTAAGATAAAATCGTCTTAATGAAAGTTTTCATTAAATGTATGAACTGAGAAGAATTGATGTGTTTTTTTTTTCTTTATCTCCCTTGAAGAAATTCGAAGACAACGATGCACCTCTGAAGTACCAATGCATAACCCTAATGACTGGCGTCACAGGCATCATCAGTAGCAGATTCGCCGAGATTCTTCCTCGCTCCAACACCTCCAGTGACCCTTGGAAAGTCTACGGCGTCTCTCACCGCCCTTATCTGTCGTGGAACACCGACCATCCCTATCGAATACATCTAGTGCGATATCTCGAACTCCGA